TGGGGATTTCAGGGAATGTTCAGTAGATAAACAATGCAGTATAAACTATATTCCAGGCTCTATTCCTATATTTTTAAAGGCTATAAAGCTATATTCCACCATATACTCCCATATGGAATATATATTGACAGTGTGAACCATGCAAAGTCTGAAACAAATAAAGATAACTTGAAAAATTACCTATACACACTACTATATATTAAATAGATAACCAACAAAGACCTACTGTATAGCACAGTGAACTATACTCAATATTTTGTAATAACCTATAAAGGAAAAGAATCTGAAAAAGAATATATGCACACACACACACATAACTGAATCACTGTGCTGTATACCTGAAACTAACACGACATTGTAAATCAACTGTACTTCAATTTTTAAAAAAAGCTAACTATATGGTTGAAATAAACTATGGACATTTTTGAATACTGGTCAAGATATACAATACAGCTCAACCACAATTACATTCATTTTACCAGATAATTTTTAAATCACCTAAATTTCTGATTACATTTAGCCCAATTACCATAACTGTCAAAAGCCTATGTTCAACAGCTGATATAAATATGCATGGATAAAAATGGATAGTTACCTATTCAATTTGTACAAACTGGTATTATTCTACTTCTCAACTATTTCAAATACCAAATGCCAAGCCAGATGAAAAAGCATGATTGTGTCATTTGCAGAGACATGGATGGACCTAGAGACTGTCATACAGAGTGAAGTCAGTCAGAAAAACAAATATCGTATATTAACACATATGTGGTATCTAGAAAAATGGTATAGATGATCTTATTTGCAAAGCAGAAATAGATACACAGAGGTAGAGAATAAACAAATGCATACAAAGGGGAAGGGCAGGGCGTGTGGGATGAATTGGAAGACTGGGATTGACATATATACACTATTGATACTATGTATAAAATAGATAACTAATGAGAACCTACTGTATAGCACAGGGAGTTCTACTCAATGCTCTGTGGTGACCTAAATGGGAAGGAAATCCAAAAAAGAGGGGACATATGTATATGTATAGCTGATTCACTTTGCTGTACTGCAGACACTAACACAACATTGTAAAGCAACTATACTCCAAAATTAAACAAAAAAAAACTGGACAAAAAAAAGAAAAAGCATGACTCTCACTGGACTGATAAGCAGATATCAGTCTGCTTATATTATTATCAGATAATATTGGATATTTAAATATTTTAGAGCCCACTTACAAGACAAAGAAAGCTATCCAAAACTTAAATATCTTAAGTTTAAAACTTAAGGAAGGCTTACTTAAGGAAACAACCAAAAGAATTCAGTTTTCTGAATAACTGAATGCCTGTTAACTCTACTGGCATTCACAAGTAGAACTACATCATGCCACTTCAGGACCTGGCTTGGAACTCTGAGAATTCACTATCAGTGAAGTTGCATTTAATCCTTGCTTTGTGCTTGAATTAACCAACTGTCAGTAAGGTTGTTGGTGGGAATGCAAAATAGTACAACCACTTTGGAAAACAGTTTGGCTGTTCCTTACAAACACACATCTACCATATGATACAGAAATCCTACAAATGAAAAGATATTTCCACACAAAGATTTGTACACAAATGCTCGCAGCAGCTTTACTTATAATAGCCAAAAATTGGAAATAACCCAAATGCCCACTATAAATGGACCAATAATAGTGTATCCATACAATGGAATATTAGACAGCAACAAAAAGGAATGCATTACTAATCACACAACACAGCTAAATCTCAATAACATCATGCTCAGTGAAAGAAATCAGATACAAAAAGTATGATCCCACTTATATGAAATTCTAGAAAAGGCAAAACTATAATGACAGAAAGCAGATCAGCATTTGCCCAGAAGTGGGGGGAGGAATTTAACCACAAAGTGTCATGAAAGAACTTTTTGGGGTAAAACGTTCTATAAAACAATTATGGTGATGGTTACAAACTATATAGGTTTGTGAAAACTCATGAATCTATACAGTTAAAACTAGTAAATTTTAGCATAAATTATTTTTTAATCAGCTTTATTGTGGTATGTGTTTACAATCACAAGAATAAATTAGTGCTTGGTAACAGCCTAAATGCTATCCTCATAGCCAGTTTTATTATCCTCATAGCACTTATCACTATCTGAAATTATTTCTCTAAATATCTGACTGTTTAAATATTGCTCCATACTCAAGCAGACCCTCAGTGAAAACTGAGACTTTATGTATTCTGCTCGTTGCTACATTTCTAACACCTAGAACTGTGGCTAGCACATGGAAGGTGTTCAATAAACATTTACTAAATAAATAAGTAAATGAAAAAGTGAGCTGGAATAACTAAAACCCACTGATGAAGAGGAACATAAGTCAGGATTTTAAAAGATAGCAAGGATCTAAAGAAGCAAAGGACAGAAGAGTATTCAACTGGGAACAATCAAAGGCAAAGGGAGCAAGACAGTAATGCATATCTGTCTAGGAGCCAGCAAGCAAACATCTCTGACATGGGGAAAACTGCGACTTTCCCCACTTTGCACGTAAGTCCCAATGAGTTACTTCTTGGCTTTCCAATATGGTAGCCACTAGCTACATGAGTCTACTGAACACCTGAAATGTGGCTATCTAAATTAAGATATGTGTTAAGTATGAAATATATATGGAATTTTGAAGACTTTAGTACAAAAAAATTTTTATTATCTCATTAATACTTTCTATAGTGATCACATGTAGAAACTGTAACATCTGGAATATACTGGGTAAATAAAATACATTATTAATCTCCACAGAAAGTTATACACAAATGTTCAGAGAAGCATTATTCATAATAGCTAAAAAAAGGAAACCCAAATGTCAATCAACTGATGAATGGATAAACAAAATTTGGTATATTCAGACAACGGACTATTATATGTCCAAAAAAGGAATGAAGTACTGACAAGTTACAAGATGGATGAGCCTTGAAAACATTATGTTAAGTGAAAGAAGCCAGACACCAAAGGCTACATGTTGTATGATTCCATTTATATGTAATGTCCAGAAAAGGAAAATCCATAGCAACTAAAAGATTAGTGGTTTTGAGTTAAAACCACTAATTAATTAATGGTTTTAATTAAATTAAATGGTTTTAATGGTTTTAATTTAATTAAAATTATTTTGCTATATGAATTAAATCTCAATAAAGCTGTTATTTTTTTAAATTTATTTCACCTGTTTCTCTATTTGGAAGTGTTTGTTTTGATTTTTTTTACTTTTTGAATGTGGCTGCTAGAAAAAACTTAAGTTACACCCTTTGGCTCACATTACATCTCTACTGGACAGCACTGTTCTAGAGAGCTTATGGTGGGGGGTGATACCCTGGATATTTTGAGCTCTCAGTTTTACCTCTATTTTTCTTACACTCTCCATTTTTCCCAATTTGCCAGCCTGCTTCAAGTATCACCATACTTCAGGGCCAACTTATACACTAAGATCAGTCATCTTAAAACACTAGATTCCCTTCTCCCCTGTCAGTGTTACTCTACTATAGTATGCAGACTGTTACTGGTCTAATAAGATGAGGAGTTTGTGTAAGAACATAAAATCAACTAAGACCCTAAGCACATTGCTCAGTTCATCGGACATTTTCTGATGAAGGAAGCAGTACACTAATTTACATTCTGGTGCAAGTTCTTTCTCCCCTTGCAGAGCACTGCTGTAGTAGACAACTGTCATATCCATGGCTGCCCCATCATTTTTTAGTCTTTCTACATTTAAAGACATTCCATTTTATGAGTTTCAGCTCTCCAAAACAGAATTCAAACACAAATTCCCAGTCTCGCTTGAAACCAGAATGCAAGCACGTCACCTAAGGCTCTCCAATTAGACACACACAAATGCAACTTCAGTTCAGAATTGAGCAGTGTAAAGAAACAAGGTTCCATTCTTGCTGCTGTAAGGCTTTCAGTAGCTTCCCAGTGGTTAGTCCAGTTCCTGAAGCAGAAACAGCATCAGTGAAAGTAGCAATAGCTTCATATGCTCCTCGGCACCAGAGAAAACAGTCTTTCCTGTCAGGCCAGCTCTGTGGCAGCTTTTAGCCAGAGACAGCAGTGATTCTCAAAGTGTGCTTCTGAGACCACAGAATCACTATCACCTGGGAACATGTTAAAAGTGCAAATTCTCAGACCCCATCCCAGACCATCTTGATTCAGAAATTCTGGGTGTGAGGCCCAGAAATGTGCTTTAATAAGCTCTTGAGATGCATGCTAGAGTTTGAGAACCAATGGCCTACAATCTGTCTCCCTGCTTTCTCAATGACTCTGTAAACTACTTCACATCTTCTCAAAAATTCCTTTTATGCTTAAACCAGACAAAATGTTTTGTTTGCAACAAAAAACACTAAGTGAAACATACCATATTGTCACTCCCATCACCATTCTCTTAAAAACTGCTCATAGAATGCTAGACACTGATTAAAAGAAAAAATCCACAAAGGTTAACATTGGTTAGAAGATAGAAAAAACTCTAGAAAATCTGCTTATAATCAACCCTGTTGATTTATTTCATGACAGTACGTGGAGGCACACACTGACTTCCTTCCGAAGGATACCAGTATGGAAAGGCCAGGGAGGGAGGGAGAGAAACTTCAGTTTCTTGAAACTGTAACAAACACTACCCAGCAGGGGTGATCAAGGCTAGCATCAACACAGATAACACTGATAAGCCACGCTGATAGTATGCATCCTTGATATGAGGCAACAAAAGTGGCACTTTACCTGTGTGGTCTTCTCCCCAAAACCCACAAACCCAGTCTATACATGAGAAAAACATCAGCCAGATCCCAACCGACGGACAGTCTAAAAATACCGGATCAGTGCTTCTTAAAACTGACTAGGTCATCAAAAAGTCAGAGAAACTGTCACAGTCCAGAGGAGCCAAAGTACACATGGCGACTAAATGTAATGTGGTGTCTAGATAGTATCTAGAAACAGAAAAAGTTTGTTAAGAAAAAACTAAGGCTTTGCAGCCAATTAAGCCAACCATGCTCTTTTCTCCGTGGGGGCCCGGTGTGCAATGGCTGCAAACAGCAGCCTCCTCTGTAGTGTATGCAGCCTGTTGCCTGTATGGGTTGCCCTAAGAGACCCTGGAAACAGCCCTTTCCAGTGAACGTTCGTGACTGGCGTGCTGTCCCCAATCTAGGCTCCAGACAGGTATGCATGGTGCCTTTGGAAAGCCCCAGGCACAGTGGCCAGGGTCCACATAGGCCAAGTCATAATGTCCACCCACACCAAGCTGCAGAACAAGGAGCATGTGACTGAGGCCCTACGCAGGGCCAAGCTGAAGTTCTCTGGCTGCCAGAAGATCCACATCTCCAAGAAGTGGGGATTTACTAAGTTTAAACAGATGAATTTGAAAATATGGTGGCAGAAAAGTGGCTCATCCCAGATGGCTGTGGGGTCAAATACATCCCTAATCGTGGCCCCTGGACAAATAGCGGGCCCTGGACTCATGAGAGCCTTGGCACTGTCCCCTCCTTACTCACGCCCACAAATAAATTCTACTTTTCTGCCAAAAAAGAAAAAGCTAAGGAAATCTGAATAAAGCAGGGACTTCAGTTAAGAGTAATGTGTCAATATTAGTTCATTAATTTTGACAAATGTACTATACTAATACATCATGTTTTTAACAAGGAATCCTGGATGTGCAGTATATGAAAACTCTGTCCTATCTTTCCAACTTTTCCATAAGTCTAAAACCATTTTAAAATAAAGTGTTTTTTTTTTAAGCTATTGGCTAAACTCTGAATCATTTTCAAATTCAAATAAATAAATACCTTTACTAAAGCTGTTACCAGAGGTCTGGCACTGTTCACCACGCATCAAAGAGCAACTAGCCCTCCACATACCATCCCCACCACACCGCTCCACCTCCAAAAGAGCCTTCAAGCTTAATAGAAATGAAAACCTCATGCATTTGAATGCTTACCTGAGTAGACTTCCCTTCCCATCTGACTTACTATTATACTCTATAAGATCCAATTTTATCTCCTAACAAACTTAGTTTTGCTTAGAGTCAGAGAACAAAGGATATAGAGAAAGCAGAGTTTAGAGATTAGTGCAGTTCGTTGAAAAGCCCCATAGGTGAGAAACAAATCCCACAGACTGGATGACTGGGTCACAGAGAAAAAATAAAAAATAAAACAATGACTAGAACTGAACTGGAATTTGGTTACATTTAAAGTAAAAGCAAACAAACCTAATTTTTAAAAATTCAGCAGCACTGGGGAAGTCACCAGTATATAGCTTGGTCCCAAAACTAATGTTCATACTAAGTCATTGATAAAAGATTCAGTGATATCCAGTGTACTCTGTTTAAGAAAACAAGGTAAAAGTGTAATTTATTTCAGAAAAATTGCTAAGAAAAATACATGCTATGCCCCTAGCACCTAGAATGTGGTCTCTAAATACTGTTTCCCACAAAAAGTAACCAGGGTTCCTTGGAAAAAACTCTGATTCCCGGCCTGGGGCAGGAAGTATACAAGATAAACCTGGAACATCTTGGCACCTACTGGGGTTTTATCAAAGGACTTCCCTTTGTAACAAAGGAGTCGACTTAAAGGATTTAATGGCCAAAGATGAGATAATCTGAGCATCAGTGTGGTAGGCTGAACCAACCCTTCCCCTCAGATGTATTAATTTCCTAATCACCAAACGTATAAATATTACCTTATACAGTAAAAGATATAATTAAGTTAAGGATCTTGAAAAGAGTAGTTTATCCTGGACTATCCAGTGGGCCATAAATGCAATCATATCTACCCTTATAAGAAACAGGAGTTCCTCAGCAGACACAAAGAGGACTATGTAATGTGATAACAGAAGCAGAAGCTGGAGTGAGGAAGCCAAGGAATGCCAGCAGCCACCAGAAGCAGGAAGAGGCAAGGAACAGATGCTCCCCTAGAACCTCTGGAAGGAGTACAGACCTGCTGACACTTGATTTCAGCCCAGTGATACTGATTCTGGACGTCTGGCCTCCTCAACTGTGAGAGAATAAACTTCTGTTGTTTTAAGCCACCCAGTTATGGTAATTTGTTGGAGCAGCCATAGTAAACTAATATAATCAGTAACTACAATGAAGTAAAACATATACATTTTTTTTTTTTGCTGTACACGGGCCTCTCACTGTTGTGGCCTCTCCTGTTGCGGAGCACAGGCTCCGGACGCGCAGGCCCAGCGGCCATGGCTCACGGGCCCAGCCGCTCCGTGGCATGTGGGATCTTCCCGGACCGGGGCACGAACTCGTGTCCCCTGCATCGGCAGGCGGACTCTCAACCACTGTGCCACCAGGGAAGCCCAAAACATATACATTATTTAAATCCATGTGTTCTTGATGATATACGAAGGAAAAAAAACCCTGATTAGTTACCTTTGAAGGGTTCTAGGCAACCAAGTCATTATTTTGAAAACTGGTAACCAAAGAGAAAAGTAGTAAGCATTTATTCTCCATTTCCTACACCATAAGGTAGCAAAATATACAAGGAGAATTTTTCTTTACAGAACTATTCCAGCTAATAACTTGCTATTTTACAAATCCTAATGAATGGAGAAATCTAGGCAATGATCAACAGTCCTAACATCTCAAAGAGACAACCAGACATTATGAGCCTCCTGATAGAGGTACACTCTACCACTTTGAAATATTCTTTTAAAAAGCAAAACAAAACCACCACAAAAAAATATAACACATAAAACCATATTTCAAACAAACAAAAACCTGGACCTAATCACTACTTTAGATCAAACTACCAATTTAGAGGAAACACAGAAGGCACAAGAATATGGAGACCAACACAACATGGGTGCAATTAGGAAATTCCAGGTGTGAACAATCTACAGGGTGGATTTCTTCAACAAATTGTAAGGGAAAAAAACAGACAGGACACACCAACCAATCTTAAGGATAGCTTTTATTTTGGATCCTGATTTGAACAGTTTTTTTTTTTAAGTTGAGACAACTGAGGAAATTTCAACACTGACTAGATATTCAGAAACACTAAAGAATTAGTTACTGTTTTTAGGAGATATAGTAGTATTGCATTTTATGTTTACATACATACTAAAATGTTTCCAAATGAAATCATCTAATGTCTGAGTTTTGCTATTAAAAAATCCAGGAGGGGGGACCTCCCTGGTGGTGCAGTGGTTAAGAATCTGCCTGCCAATGGAGGGGAGCCGTGTCCCACGTGCCACAGATCTTCCCGGACCAGGGATTGAACACGGGTCCCCTCCATTGGCAGGCAGATTCTTAACCACTGCAATGGAGGGGACCCGTGTTCAATCCCTGGTGCGGGAAGATTCCACATGCCACAGAGCAGCTAAGTCTGTAAGCCACAACTACTGGAGCCCGCAAGCCACAACTACTGAAGCCCGCACGCCTAGAGCCCGTGCTCCACAACAAGAGAAGCCACCGCAATGAGAAGCCCGTGCACCGCAACGAAGAGTAGCCCCTGCACAACCAACTAGAGAAAGCCCACGTGCAGTAACAAAGACCCAATGCAGCCAAAAGTAAATAAATTAATTAATTAAAAAACAAAAAAACAACAACAAAAAAAATCCAGGAGGGAAGGTGGGGAGGGCTATAGGGAAACAAGACCCGCCATGCATTGATAATCATGATACACAGAGAGAGGGTGGTGGGTCTACATACTAAACTCTTTACTTTTCAAGTGTTTAAAAAATTCCATATAAAAGACTAAGTTTGCTTTTTTTTTTTAAAGTCTTACCATTTCTGTGTTTGAGGGCTTAAGTCTAAATCAGCTGAAAAATAATGTACCCGTAAAACCATCCCTCCACCATTCTATATAAAGGGGCATTATACATATTCACACATACAATTCACAGTGGAGAACTATTAATTAAAAATTTAATTACTTCTGGTTACCAAATTCCTTTAATATAAAATGAAAATTTGCTCAGAATATTCTGAAGATTTTTTTTTGAAGATTTTTTTTTTATCGTTTACATAGGAACAAGTCAAGCCTAACACAACATATGATACCTCTTGGAACCATGTTTGATTATACTGTAAAACAAATCAAATTCCCTATGTACATACTGTCCTTCATTGTAACATGGAAAACCTAAAATGTAGATGTAATTTCTTATCTCCCTACACTTGTGTTATAAAAAGGCTACAATATAACCACACAGCTGATATTAGAAGTTATTTATCAGAAAAGAAGTTCTTCATAAATAAATAATAAAAAGACAAGCATTTTATTTTATTTATAAGGGATGTTGAATGCATTATTTATGAGCCTTTCAGAAATATCAAAGTCATACATAGAAAGGCATCAGAATTTTGATAAATAGTTATCCTAAGTGTGGATGAAGAAGATTAATTATATGTCCCTGAAGGGGAAATGAGAAACCAGTAGGTAAAAAAATTTCCAGGAGAGAGCGCTGATGTTAATGACATGGGGAGGAGGGTGAGGGGGTGTCTCTCAAAGCTAGAAAAAAGAAATAAATAACAGGAGCTAACAGTTAAGTATCCCCTATTCATCAGGTATTATATGGGAAGCTGTACAGCATAATAGTTGAAAGCACAGGCTCTGAATCCCCGCTCTGCCACTTATAAACTGGTTCCTTCTCTCTACCTGTAAAAATGGGGACTAGAATAGTACTACCTTCTAGGGTTGTAGCAAGGATTATATAATTTACATATAGCTCTTAGGCAAGTTATTTTATACACTGGCTCATTAAATTTTCAAAACAAACCATAAAGTAGGCATACCATCCCCAGTTATAGGTGAGAAAACATTCTGAGAAATTAAGTAAAATGCCTATTGTTGCACCGCTAGGAAGTGGCAGAGCTGGGTTCAAACACTGACCTGCCATGGCCTAGAAAGATTTCCCTGTGACTATAAGTATTTAATAGTGATTAATATAGGACTTATAAACAAGTGTAATACCACCTTCTAGGGGTGGCTCTTTTATTTAGTCCCACGTTAATTTACACGTTGAAATATATATACTTAATTATAAGTTATTTTCCTTCACACTAAAGGCATTATACTGTTAGGGTTTGTTTTTTTTTAAGTCATTTGTATAACTTTATCAGAATGGTATCAGTGCATTCTAAAGCATTTTGTTATAA